ACTCCACCACCGGGGGGCCCCCACCAAGGTCCAAATACCGATCTTCAGGAGCTCCGCTCTCCTGAAGCAAGACCGTCGGTGGCCGGGATGGATGGAAACTACCTGCCCATGGTGGACACCACCCGCAAGTGCTCAAGTGATTGAACCATCCTACTATCGAGAACCCATGGTCCCCTTGGGGAACACCAAGTGGAGTCTCAGCGTTCGCCTAGGTTGGAGGAACGGGCCTAGGCGTTCCCCCGGCCCAGTTCGACATGTGGTGACCAGGAATGCCTACAACCTGTCAATCCACAGGCACACCCACCACGTCAGCTCAGTGGTCATCGCATTGCCAGTGGTCCAGGGCCTTTTTCGTCCGCGAACAGCAGAGCTCTTACAGCGACGTACCAGGTCCTTTTACCGAAGACGCGGCCAGCTCTGTGCTGGCCCCGCCGCCCCTGGCCTGGATCCCTCCCCCCCACCGTGCACCGAACACGTCGTCTCCATGCACTCAACGGCGAGCCCCCCCCAGGAGCGAAGGTGAGACCGTGGCCATGCGTGGCCTGAAGTCGTCGTTCGAAGGCCGCCAAATGGCTGACGTTGCCTTGGGTGACGCGGACCGGCCACGGTGACTAAGATGGAAGGCCCGGCTCCCTGGTGTGGGGGGGGAGGGTCGGGACCCTGGTGTGTGAAGCCACTGCTTCAGAACTAAGTCTGTTCGAGTGCCCACCGGTGTCCCAGCGATTCTGACACCCATCGCAAGAAAAGCGGTGCATGTAGCGCAAGTCAAACTGCCACACTCATCGGGCACGCTTTGGGTGTATTCCATTACCAGGGACCCGTGGATCTGATGATGGCTAGGTTGCAGGCCTTTCTCCACATAGTGATGTGATGTGATATGTAGATGTATCCGTCTCTCTCTCTCTCTCTCTGTGTTTTTTTTCCGACTGCTCATGGGGCACAGCCCATGACATGCGGCGGTTTCTTCGCTTCCACGGCGGTTTCCACAAACCGATCCTCCCGGCACCGTCACCAGGCTCCCGCGCTCGCCCAACGGCCTTCGAGCTCTTCGAGTGAGTCCTGCGTGGCGACGGGAGACCCATAAGGACTGGGGGGAGGGTGAATTACTTACTATGAATTATCCCGTCCTTGAGGTGTTAATTGATCCCTTCGCCACGTTCGAATATGCAAGAATAACCTTTACAGTCAAGGGGCTGTAGCGCAATTCGGCGGAATAAGACAAAGGTGGATCTGCTCTTTCGAGGGCTTCTCCTAAAACCCTGCCACCTTCGACAGCCCCCATGTTGGTCGCATAGCCTGTCCTCTCCCTGTGGCCTAGAGGGCACACTGAGGAGGGACAAATTAGGATGGGTTCATGCCGATCTGCTCTCTGCATGGATCCACACTTCAACTACGTACCGTGCTCATACTCAAGGAAAGGAACTCCATAGCATATATGATGCATGCATGGCATATGCTGCATGGCATATATCAACATATCAATTCAAATCATATTCAACTATGACCTCGGCTGAAAGGATCCGCCGAAGCGTTCAATTGGTGGACACTCCCGGTCTTCTTGCGGCAGACCGTCCCAGGTCTCGTTCGGTCTCGTTCGGTCTCGTTCGGTCCCAGGTCGACAGCGTCACACGTCGACTGCGGGCCCACCCTGAAGAAAAGAAAAAGAAACCTGGGATCCGGTATAGACTCTAGACATCTCTAGACTGACCTTGCTTTACGATCAAGTAAATACTTGGGATCTTCCAGAAAGGCCAGGAGTTGCATATGAAGAGCCCATGAAGTTGGGTCAGCAAAAGACAGATGGAACCAACTGCCCGCGCTTAGCAGCTCAAATCTGCTAAGCTTCTGTCCGGACATTGCCCCTGCCCTCCCCGAATCGGCAGCAGGGACCCGCCCGGGAGCGATGGCTGGAGTTTTTGGGGACGAAAATCCCCTCGAATCCCGAAGATGGGTCAGTCTGAATGGATGAATGGGGCGGGCTGGGGGAAGTTCCATCCCTGATTTCAGGGCGCCCAGAGCCCTGGGTGTTTTCAGACATCTTTCTGAAAAGAACTCACTCGGCTGCAGGACATATATAACAAGACGGCGAGAGGTTTACAGTCTGTAGACTACAGCTATGTCATGCTATAAACTCTGATTCCCCACCATTCGTGGCAACAATTCCTCTGCAGCGACATGCACAACACGACGCCCCCCCACCAATAGCAATGATGGCTCCAGTCTCCGCACGCGGAGGCCCCGTCCTGTCCATGTCTGGCGCCCATCCAGAGCCTGAACCTCGAGTTCCAACTGGCAGGAGCACCGACGGACCGACTCAACCTCACTCTCTGCAAAAATGCAGAGGCGTCAACTGTTGGCATTGTCCTGCTCCTGATTGGATGCTCAGTGCAAGAAACAAAGGATGATTCTTTATTCATATGGTGAGGCTGAGCACCAAAAAGACCTTTGCCTACTAGAAACTGGTTGTATTTAACTGCTTGGCCCAAACATGGTTTTACACTGTTTTACCAATGCCCCATGCAACTCCACAGATCCCAGGATCTAAACCAGCTGCCCACCCGTTAAACAACGAGGAGGCGTCTCGGGGTCGAAAACGCACGTCGTCTCGGTGTCTGGCGGCTTAGCCAGGTGCATGGACGAAAACGCCGATGGACGTTCAGCACTGAAATGAGTTCAGGGTTAAGTTTAGGGCTTTAAAGGCAGCTTCACACATTGACATTATTAAGAGCTTTGGTGTGCCACGTTCAAGACAAGAGTTTCGGGTTGAGGGGTGCAGGCTTGCATGCTGGCTTAAATTCGTCCACCACCTGGTCCAAAAGGACATCGATGAGCCAAATGCGTGGGGCCCCAGGCCCAAGCAAGGCAGCCAGGAGCGCACATAAGGCGACCAGGCCAAGGCAATTCCAGGCCTCGCGCAACAAATAGTATGTATACAGTATAAAAAAAAATATATATATATATATGCACACACACTGAAGAAGTCCAAATACACTTACGTCATGGCAGTCTTGCTGGTACTGACCGGTCACCCAAGGTGCCAGGGTTTGCCCTGAACCCTTGGCAAGGCCACATCACAACGAGTACCGATGTCACATACCTCAGGGGTAGCGAAACTGACCGGTCCTCAATGTAATCTTCATCAACTCAACTGATTCAGGACAAGAAATTGTTCCGCCAATTCTGAAGAGTTCGGAATACACTACATGTGGTGGATGCGCAAGTTTCTTGCTCTGGCTCCAGGCGTGAAATGAAACCTTTAGAGGCAGCTCTCGCTGTGTGGGGATTTCGGTAGGGTCAGTGTCTGGCTACTTCTGTGGCCCGCTTGCGTGAGTCTTCTGGTCCGGCCTTTATGTTCCCCATGAGCGCTGCCATCGCGTCGTTCGCATGGCGAGGTTGGTGGTTCCACGGCACTGGAAAGAGTTGGCTCAGCTGATCTCTGATCCGTTGGTTGGCGTGTGTGGATGTCGAAACCACAAAACCGCGGGCTGTTCGGATGAGTGTGATGTCTGACTGCATCGCGTACACGTGTGTTCTGAGACAGCAGCGGTGCGGGAGTGCTATTGATGGATGTGGGATCCAAGTTTGGTTGGCAAACCCGTGGAAGATTCGAATCAACAGGGATTCAGTAACCGTCACATACACTTCAGTTGTCAAGATGAACCACCAGTTCCACATTGTTTAGTCCTTCCAAAGTTGCAACACATGTGCAGCGCATGCACCGATGCAAATCTACTTAACAGAACATCATGAAACACTCAAACGAACTGCTGGCTAAAGGAAGGACATTCTGATCAATGAAAGCTACCAAATCACTTGGAAAACTTCAAATTTACGTGTGCCAGAATATGTTGTATGAGGTCTTCGAGGCCAGGGAACAGTTCTTTTGCGGTGCTGCTAGCTTGGGGGGCCTCTGGCACAACCTAAAACACAATAAATACTGTATACAGAAGTATATAAAATTTATGTGTATATATATATATATGTTTATATGTGTGTGCAGAAGCTTATTGGTGCACGAAAGGGAAGAAAGACTCTTCTGATCTCTTCGGATATGTCAGCATGAGTTGGCATGCCTGTTCTTGATGGGTTTCACTTAGAACTCCGTTGAAATGGTGTTCCTAGTCAACTTCCTTTCCTTATCAGAAATCGCTTCAGGCATGTTCATGCCACTGTCTTGGACGGAACCCTGGAACTGCTTGTTGACAAAAGCCGGAATGGGACGTCGCTGGTCTCTCTATATTAATCGGCAAGGATGGCCCACCCTTCCAAATCCATCAAAAACCTCATTGACCATGGCATCCCAACCTGAATCCGCACGATCAAAACGCCCGCAAGTCACAAGTCAAGAAAAATCCTTTTCCAGAGACCTTGCTGCTGCTCGGCTGGTGAAAAAAGACCTTCTGGGGCCGTTTCCCCCGTGTCCTCCCTTTAGGAGAATTTCTTCAAGTCGGTCGTCCTTCCAGCGGGCGCAGGGCAAGGCCCAGAAAGGTGCGTCAGCAAAGCCCAGAAAGCCAGAAACACGACGTGTTGCTAGCTTTTCCCTAGATACTCCGTGAAGTCAACGAATCATGGAAGTGGGTTCTGGGAAGACGATGTCCTTGTAGAAACAGGGGGTGAACTCCAATTCCATGCTTGGAGGGAGAAGTAAGCACTCTAGAGGTGCTGAGGACCGTCCCTTCGAGCTTCGAGGCGATCCCACCGGGGAAAAGATGAACGGAAGACGCCTCGACTCTGCGGCACAGCCGATCAGGTGAACTACTCCTTTTGAAGCCGATGTTTCTTGGCATTGCCATCACCTTTATCGAGCTACTAGGCCTGGGCAATCCCAAAGGAAAACTCACCAGGAGACCACTTGTGCCACTGCTGAGGCTTACAAGAAACATCGTGATCTTCTCTTATCGGTCCGTTGGAAGTTTGCCATGACTTGAGACGTGTCCTCTTTGGGTGAGCTCCTTGGGATTTTGCCCAGTACCCCACGACGGGCATGTCGCCATGCCGCACTAAGGGTTTGGTTGCCGCGGGGTGGGCGAACCTTCCTCGCCTGAGCGGACGGTCCGCGGACGAGTGGGAGTCTGAGTGCAATGGACCAATTACTCATGGCCAAAAGGTGTACGTTGAATTGGTCTATCCCTTGGAGTCCTTCGATACAGTCATTTGGCATCCACCAAGCATCACAAAGTCCAAGTCTTGGCAAGATTATCTTTAACAGAGACAACCACCACTACGCTCCAGGAAAACTCAACTAGAACTGAACTTTTTGCGGCGCCTGGCACGGTGCCCGGCAAATTGATCGGAGGAGGCGATGTACCTCCCAGGCAATGGTTGCCGGCTTTGTGGCTTCAAAAAGAACATCAAATGGGGCCGGTATTTATAAATATATATAAATAAATATATATATATATGTTATGTGTTGTTATCATATATTATCTTACTATACTATACTATACTGCTATATAATATTGTCAATGTTGTATTATAACATGTACGTCTGTGTGTGTGTGTTCAAGCGTGTCCCGTCTTCACTCCCTGATGGAACCCCAGTTTGGGGGAAGTTCCATCAATTGACAGTCTGACAACACACAGCCGTTGCCTTGATAGATGGTGATAAACAAAAAGACAGGTGACTCAATGCAAGCTCAAGTTCAAGATCTTTCAGAGGGCCACAACCCAAAGAACAGAGCCGCGATGATTTGCGTTTCCAGTAGGATGCTGGTTAGGATTTCGGAGGTTTGTCTGCAATGTATGGAGGTTGTGAATAAAAATCCTCCAAAACCACAATAAACGGGAACACGTCAGAGGAAACAGCAAGTGCCCCCTGGGCCGGGCCTCATTGTACAGACCCGGGCCCCTCCACCCCATCCCTTCTTCGCCCGCACCTCTCATGGTCGAAGTGCTTTGGTTGGACACACCTGGCGTTTCACCACGAAAACCGATCTCCGAACCTCTCCGATCTCAACGGAAGCACGTCCAATCGATCACAACGGGTCGTGCAATCTTGTGAGGAAAGAACATCGCGGGACGTGTCCGGATCAAGTCTGGCGGGCTGGAATCTTGACCCTGACCTACAAAATACCGTGTAGTGTGTATGTATGTAAAATACCATATACATACAGTATGTGTATATATATATATTTATATGTATACATGCGTGCTAATATGCCTGCGTGTGTGTGTGTGTGTGTCGACCAATGTTTCCAAGGGAACTAATCTAGCTATTCTTGCTACTTGATTGTACAGAAACTCAGCAGGGGGGCAGTGAATCTCATTCCATCCACTGCCCAATGAAGACGGTGGTTTGAGATTGTGAAGCGAGAACGGACGCCTTCTTGTGCACCTGCAAATTTTTAATATACTTTAAAGAGCTAATGCATCTTGTTGAGACATTCAAGTGAGCGGACTCTTCACTTCATACAGTTGCGTCAAGTCAAGTGCTACGTATTCACCTTCTTGTGTACCTGCAAATTTTTAAAATACTTTAAAGAGCTAATGCATCTTGTTGAAACATTCAAGTGAGCGAACTCTTCACTTCATACAGTTGCGTCAAGTCAAGTGACCTAAAGGGCTAATGATCCCCGCGAACAGCTTGAAATCGCGCTCCGCGGAGCAACCTTCTCAAGTGTGATCAGCTAAGCTCAAGTCAACCCGAAGCTCGACGTTTGTAAACCTAGATTTTATGATGGTCTGTTGACCTTCGTCAAATACGTGGGACCAGGATGCACGTGAGACCCAACAGGTGATTAGAGGCCATTTGATCCACGTGTCAGACCCCGGATGTTTCACCAACCTGGATGAAAGTGTCCTTTTGGCACCAAGCCTACGCCTCGTAGTGGCCCGCTTCGCACCACTGACTCTGTCAGAGAAGGACGGTATATATATATATATATATATATTCCACGATTTCTCACTTGCGACTTGGGTGAATGTGAAAAACATCTCCACCTGCCAAGCTTGCTGCCTCTTCAAGGCAAACGTGCAAACAACCCTCACCTTTGGGAAGCGGCGGCTGCAGTGGCACATGCTTGGGCAAACCGATGGACAGCCTAGGCCAAGCGAACGACCACACTCCATGGTGCACCCGAAGAAAAACACCGAGACTGGTTTGGTGCAAACGAACGCCCCGCGTTGTGGTTATCCTTTCAATCATCCACAAGAACCATGTTCATTGTTTGCTGATGTTTGTACTTTATTGGTATTCTTCATTCACATCGTTCGCCCCTTCTCCTTTCATCCTGGGCATCCCCCTCCTCCTTCCCACCATCGCATCATGGCCCTCCATCATCATCTACGATGAAGTGAGGCCCTCGGCCTAAGGATACATATTGACACTGGGCCTAAGAAGCGCACCGCAGATACTGACGCACCAAAGTCACTACCCAACCAAATAATTGATGTTGCAACACTGTTGCGTGCATGTTTTTCAATTTGTTGTGGCCGTTTTGGGCAATGAGTCAAGATCGAGTCGTTCCAGTTCCAATGGCACGGCTTACGCTCGCGGAACATTCACAACAATAATCATGTTCTTTAAACCTAAAGCCAAGTTGAGGGGCTGTGGGCCCTATGGAATATGTCCAGCCGGCCTGCGTTCAAAAAAAGAAACATGTATACAGTATATAGATTTATCGAGAGAAAACATATAACTCTCCCCCATGAACAGCTCATCGGGAGCCGATGGGCTGTATGTTTTAGGACTCATCAGGATCGATCTGATTCTTGTGACTCGGAACTGTTCAGACTTCTCCACTGATTGGAGGCAATCCTTTCTGCATGCTGCCTACTTATCATGTTCCACACCTGTTTTACAAGTCACCTGAGCACGTGATGTGCTGTGGATTTGTGGTTCAGTATATAGGGTCGGTCCATCCCACTGTACGTGGTCAACAAGGCCCCCTCGCTCACTAAAGCTTAAGGAAGTTTGGAAAGTTGCTCTGATTGTTGCATAATACTGATCAACATAACTAGCTGGTCCACTTCGGCCAAGCAGCTGCCCAGCCTTTAGCGCTGGGGGCGACAATGCCAAGGGCCGCGCCACCGTCGGGGGCGCCGGCGGCAGTGGCAAGTGCCCGCCCTTGGCCTCCACTCTGCATGGGGCACACTCTGCTAGCACAGCCCAACACATCCATGCCCAACCATCACAAACAGAAACCAGATGAAACATGATGAAACCAGTATCCCAAATCCTGTGCGTCGCCTTGGGTTCCATGAGCTCATCGAATCTAGAAAAAGGGTAAAAACCGCTCAAAAGGCGAGAGAGCTTGCAAGGTGGTTGCATACAAGTATCATGAGATCTCTGCTCACTCCTCCAGGTAGAGGAAAACGACAACCCTCAGACTCCTCAAACTGAAAAAATTGGACAAAAGGACATGCCGTCGTCCTAAAAAATGGGTCCCAATGGTCCCCAAACCAGGTGCGCTTCTCCCTGGTTCGCCCCTGCCACCCGGCCCAGGTGCCGGGACCAGGGCCGCATTCCTCAGCTGAAAGTCCTCCCAGCCCGGAGGCGGCGGAGGTGATGACGGACTGGCCTGCAGCGAGCCCCTCTCACGTGGGGGAAATGGACCCTGAGAGAGGGAGGAAATGGACGCTCCAAGTACCTGTCTATCCTTTCTGAGGTGTAGAGGAGGGTCCAAAGACCTGAAGAGGCACTTGGAGGTCTGGGGACTGGAACACATCCTCACGCGAAACGTGGGATTCTGCAGCCTCCATGACAGGTCGGTTCGAGAACCTGATGTGACTGGAGCACTTGAAAAGCAACTCTCTGCGGTTGAAGGGTCTTCAATAATTATGTGTAGACACCAAACCCTCCCAAAACCTTTTTTTCACCTGACCTGAGGGCTCGCACTCCACCAACTCTGCCCAATCGCCTTGCTCTGGATCGCCCCATGCGCTGCCGGCGACGATGCTGCCGAGGCGGCGGGCCCGGGCGGCCGAGGCGGTGGCGGCGGCAGCTGGTGCCGCTGAGGCGGCCGCGGCGGCGGGGGCGGCGGCGCCTTCTCCGTGGCGCTCGGCGAGAAGGTGACCGGCGTCAAGGCAAAGTCGTGGGCCCAATCGTTGAAGGCCTTGATCCGCAACGGGTCGCCGGGAAAATCGATGGAAGGACGGGAAAAGGAGTGGGCGGCGGCAAAGAAAATCAAACAAATTCAACTTCTTCCACCGGTGTTCCATCGACTTCTGGCGCTTCACCACGAGTTCAACCCCCAGCCTGGTCCACTCGGACGTCAATGCGCTCGGCATTCTCCATGCGCGGCGGGAGCGAGATGACCGAGGCCTGATGCACAGGGCGGGCCGAGGAAGCTCCGGGGGAGGAGGAGCGGAGGGATCCGGTCGTGGATGACAAATGGGCACCAAAGGGTTTTCTCTGCATGGCTTATGGCTTCCGGCTTGCGATATCCTCGTGTGGGGAATATCATATAGAACTGCACCTGGCCTTGCTTCGATATGCCCACACTCAAGGATTCACAGTGGCTAGTAGTTCCTGCCACAGGGTTTGGAAGATCAATCGCACTGCTAGATTCACATGGAATAGGCCTTCTGAAGACCATTCTCAGAAGTACAAAGTATATGAATGATCAGCCGTCAACAGTATATTGATGGACCAGGTGGGTGCAGGTTTCAGTCTGCTTGGGTGGACTGGTGCGCAAGTCCCCATGCGAATCGAATCTGCACCAAACCCCAACAAGAAGTCCTCCACACAAACCGTGGAGACTTTATTCCATTTGGGGGGCATGGACACCCGCAGAGACGGCTTCTTCTTCTACCAGGATCTGAACAAGGCATATCTCATGTTGAGTGAATGGCAAGACTGGATAGAAAGAAGCAGGCCAGTGACAGAGCCAATTATTAAAGCGACCACCACGGGAACTACAGAGTAAATTCGTTCTATGTGGCTACAACCTCCTTCTCTTGCTTCACTTCGTCTTCCACCACCATGCCATGGCACCGTCTCCGGCGTCGGCCGCTTGGGCGGCGGCGGCTGGGGCGCCATGAGCGCCAGGCCGCCCGGCGCCGTCTGCAGCGACGTGCGCTTCGGGGGAGGCGGGGGCGGCGGCGCCGTCTGGCCCTCGGGGAGCTCGGCGATCATGCCGGGCAAGCCAGAGCGGATGGACTCGCGCAACTCTTCGGCAAAGGCCTGGATGGATGCATGGATGCATTCGGTGGGCGTCAAGGGCCCTTTGCCCGCGAGCAGAGTGTTCTCTGCTGATTTGGACTCTCGCTTGACCCAATTTGATGATGTTGAGGGATTGCCAAGAATACCCGACAGCCAAAGGCCCTGTTTTCTCCCTTCTGGACAACCACCACCAGCAAAGGGAGGTTTTGAATGAAGGTACATTAAACCCACGTGCCGAAATGTTGTTGGGCCAGAATAGAGGCACAGGTGCAGGTACAGTCCAGTAATTACTGAAGCTCAAAGAATCAACACAATCTGGTGGACAACCAGGGTGCGTCCGCTCTTTGGACACCCAGCGGTGGTCACTGGATCCAATGGACCGACCGAAAAACCACACGGCCCGAGCTTCTCCGAGCCATACGCTCCGAGCCTCTCCGGACGAAACCTGCCGGTCTCAACGGCTCCGACCTGAAAGTACTCATCCTTCTCCACCGTGGGCTTCGGCCAGCTGTACCGGTGGGGGATGGTGGGCGTGGAGGCCTCGTGCACGGTATCGTCGAAGAACACGGGTCCGGTCCGACTCGAGAGAACACCCACCAATTCAATTCCCAGTGAGTCTACGTTCCTTGGCCCACAGGCCCCAGTTTCCAACTGCCAGGTCTTCTCACTGCGTGGACCAACACGTGGGAGAAAAAGGAACGGGGGAGAGCCAACGGCTGACCGGGCGTGGACGGACCGGGCCTTGGTTTGCCCAAGGCTGAAGGGCTGTCCGGCAATCTTCGCTGCGTGCTGCTGCAGAGTGGACTTGGCGAGCCTCGGACGGCGGAAACCGGATGAGTGGACCGTTGGATCCGTTGGACCCGTTGGATCGAGTTCAACGGCCATGTAGACCTCATTCGGCCACTGAGCACAAGAAGCCAGCGGCTGGGTGAAAACTCTTGCCGCACCCACTCACTTGGCATGAAAGGTTTGCTGTTGTCCAGGTTGTCCAGTGTTCTTTGGTGGCATCACGGCACGTTCTTCAAACGAAGTACGTCGTTTTCGACCATGGAAGGATGACTCAAGTGCTTCCCCCCGTGGGCCGGGGAAGAAGGCGCTCGCGTCCCCAGATGTCCCAAGAGGTCGGGAGTCACGCCCTGCGCAGGGCAGCGACGCCCTGCTTAGGCCTATTGCCATTGCGGCTTGTTCTCCCCCCCGGCCTGCACCAGGGATGATTTTTCTGTAAGAAGTGGAACACACCGAATTGCTTTTGCCACGTACATCCATTTACAATCTTTTTAATTGCATCAGAGACTTGGGAATGGGGATTGTGCAGCTCGACCAGCCTCAAGCATAACTAGTTTTCCGAACAATCCTTAGCAACTCCCATGCGAAATTGGCTGCATCTGCTGAGCCACCCCACGTCGTCTTCTACTACTCAGCTGAGCAACTCATTGGCCCAGTCCCAAAAATGCTCTTCCGCATCACGCTTCGTCCGCACCTGACGACAAAAGCGAATTGGGATGTGTAACTGTCAGGCCCAAGTGCACAGACTGGAAAGACCTCTGGGTCAGCAGGTCGGTCACGAAACCTCTCGCAAGTCGACCCGCTAGAAGAGTTGGAGCTCTGCAGCTGGAATACCCCCCTCGGCTCCAGGAGTGGACACCTCTGATGCTGAGACCGTTGGGGTTTCCCAACGGTCTCACGGAATCTGACCTTTTCACACTGATGCGCGACCAGACCGACATGTCACATGGCCTCTGTCTACAACTATAACTGCCTTTTCAAATCCAAGGGAGGGCACGCCGTCGGACTTCCCGTCACACCCCGGTCGTCGCCTCCGGCACCTTTGGCTGCGGTGGTACCTTGGGCCCCTCCTCCCAGGCTGCGCCGTCCTTGCGGGGCTCTGGGTGCTCCGGCTCCAAGCCAACCTTCCGCCAGCGAAAATGCCGTCGACGGCCCCCAATGGCCCCAGGTGGACATGTTGGGGTGAGGCCCAAAAATCCTCACCCAAAGCCTCGAAACAGAAAACGCGCATCTGAGAACATCTCTGGGGATGTGGAGGGCAACGATGAAGAATTGTTCTTGTCTTATGGGATGGATTTGTTCGATTGCTGTGGGGGTTGGGGATCACCGATCACCTCTTTGGAACCCCTGGGATCAATGGAAACACTACATCCTCCTTGACGAACAACGCTGCTCCTTCGATTCGAGACGTTCCACAGACATGCAAAGACTAACAAAAAGAAGCACTCGCGAATCGCATCCACTCATGTTGATCTTGCCATCATGCTTGCTCCCTCCCACACTGGATTCTTCTACAGTTCTCGTATTGAATCTTTTGGACCACAGCCACGCGCACGAAAAAATGCCAACTGCGCCACTATGTGTGGTGGCCTTGGCCGGCTTCTTCTTGAGTGCCTCCATAGCATCCTTGACACGTTGGCAGGACACCTGTGGCTTGAGGCTCACATTGCCCACGTAGGCCTCGATCGCCGCTGGATCGCGTCGGAAATCGGACGGAAGCTCTTCGAAGCAGCGACCTGGACCTTCCGTGTGGAGTGGAAGGTGCTGTTCACTTGAGGCTGGGGAAGAAGGGCCGGATGTGATGGGACGCCTGCCCGAGCTACAGCATGAAACTGGTAGCAAAGCGTGGACTGGGTCGAAGAGAACTCCAGCCCAAAGAGTTAGCACATCCTCCTGGTCCGGTTGGAAGCCTGTAGTCATCTGCAGTCTTAAACTCATCCCTTAATTAAGCACCTGACACATGCCTTGGAGTCCCCCAACCATCCTCTGGCGCCTGCCACCCGATGCACACGCACACGATGGCCATGGCCAGCCCTGCGAGCGCTGTGCCAAGCACAATGCCGCCATCAGCCGCAGGGGCCGGGGCTGCAACTGGGAGGGTGGTCGCCATCATACGCGTAGAGGTCACCTAGTGATCTTAGGCGTCGGCTTTTGGACGACTAGGGCGGTACCGGGTTGCCAAGCCGATGGAAATGTCTTAAGTTAGGGCTTGAGGTGTTCAGGTGTGAGGTATACAAAATGAAGTGTGGATACATGACAATTGAAAGAGTAAGGCCACTGCTGACTTTCATGTCATCCAGCAGCTACACAGCATCCGACGGATACGGAAACTCTGACCACCGAGGCGCCCTCCTCTCGACTGCATAACCGGGACCTGGTATAGCATTCAATCGCATGTCAATCCGTGCCATGTCCATCCTTTCCCTTCGCAATCTCAAACGCAAAGCAGTGTCAAACAAACACTTCGCCACCAAGGTTCCCCCCAATAACTCAAACCTTCATCAAGCATCCAATCCCACACAGACCCAAATCCGCCAAGTCGCCGTGGTGCTTGTCACCGTACTGTAGAGTGGCACCAGCACATAGACCGCTGCATAGCTGCCGCCTCCGGTCGACGCCCAGCACTCCATCGAAGCGGCATTGTAGGTCGCCGGCAGCAGGCGGCTCACGCCGTCCGTGGTCCAGGTCTCCGCAGGTCGACCGGTGAAATGAAACGATGAAAAAAACAAAGACAGTGACGGGATGTGCCGGGTTTGGTGAGGCGGCAGTTTGGGTGCCCTTCCCGATTGGTGGCGCCCTTCGGAAAAAGCAGACCCCCCTCCCAAAGAAAAGGACCCTGCAATCCCTACAAGATACTGTATTTCAAATTGTTATTTGCAAGATCTGCTGGCCACTTTGCACTAGGGGGGTGGCGTCTGAGGCTTCTTGCTTGAGTTGTGGTTTTCTGGTGGCCACACCAGGAAACCATGGCAGCATCCGCCAGGGCATCCGGCCATGCAGGAATGGTCCACAAAAGTGCAAGCACCTTCAGTCACACACGTGCTAAATAAGGGACGCTTAAAGCTACGGATCAGGAGTAAATGGCACGACGGAACAACCCCTCAGCCAAAGGCGCTTTTGTGAGATGGAGCTCCACGCAAACCAATTGGCCAAAATTGTGACAAATGCTCTGGAAGCATAGCTCAACATCTTCCATCCCTGCCTGAAGCTGCAGTGCCGTGTTCTGCTCATCCAGCCTTACGCACATGGGCTCATAGATGTAGCCCTCCGGCGGATTCTCCGGCTGAGCATTCCTGCACCCATGCACGACATCCAACCATGTGTATAGGCTCATGGTGGAGGCAAGGATGCTGATTGATTTTCTCGCGGGAGGCTTGAAGTTCCATGATGTTGCGCTAAAGTCACTCGAGCGCCCCAAGATCCCAACCCCTGCTCGCCCCGAGATCCCAACTCAAGCCGTACGTCCGTTACGTCCAAGCTCTTCTCATATGTCGCAGCCGAGATGCAGCTGAAGATTCAGCACGATGGGGGGATCCAGGTCAGATCGCACCAACAAATCATTGCACTTCTTGATCTCCAGGGTGCTGACCGTGGCGCTGCTGGCCACAAATTGGTTGCTCCCCAAGCCTCGAGCGACGTGCGTGTCGCTTCCCTTATTCTTCAGTGTCCTCTGTGTGCGTGTGTGTGTGTGTGTGTGTCGCCTGGCTCTCATGGCTATCATGGCTAACAGCTGGGCACTGCTAGGCGCTGCTGCATTTCACTCACACATCCACCGAGAGCCACAAGGTCCCAAAAAAATATCTTGCCCACTAAAAACTGGCCAAGTTTCGCTTCAGTTCACACATGGCCAGGATTTCTGAGCCGGGGGTTGTCTACAGTGGATTCCTCCTTCTTCGACGCGAGTGGTCTGGAGTCTGGATGCGTCCCAGGCACTGTTGTCCAGATAGTTGAAGGGATTACCTTGCGGCGTGCTGAAAGGCGTGCACTGGATGATCAGTTCTCTTCCAAAAGAGCTTCATATAAGCCTCTGAAAGAGCCATTGAAAGGAAAGAACCGATCCAGTAGCTGGAAGAGCCCTTCAACTGCGAAAAATCCAATTCTTTGCACAGCTACCATGGCCGTGAAGCGATCAAGTCCACCATGGCTTTAACTTGCTGTGGCTTACGATGGCTTACGCCACACGACCTCCACGACGCAGAGGCGAGCGGGAACAGGTGCCCGGTGGCTGATGGAAAACCCTCCAACCACCTGGGACTTTCGGGAAAAGCACGGCAACCATATGATGCAGTAAAATGCATATGTGCACGCACAAAAGATATTATATATATATATATATACACATGTATATATTGTATGAAATATCGTATGATCTCTCCCTTTTGCTTCCAAGAGTTCCCTCACTCACTCTTCGCCCCAGTGGCTGGCCACAAAGTTGGTGTTCTGCACGGCCACGGAGTCACACGCATTCTCTTGCAGTCGTCGGCCCAATACCGAGCCGGGAACCTGCCGGTGAAACCGTTCGAACGCGCAGTCCCACCCAGCCAAAACCCGGTGGATCTGGCCACGAAGAAGCACCGTCCAGTACGGGGGGAGGACTTGAACAACCGAGTTCCACCGAGCCTGCATGTGGCGGCATGATCTTCCTTCCAAAGATCTGCGGGTGTCTCTGTCGCGGGGTCAGGTCTACGACATAAGGCATGTGAGGTCAGCGGGGCTCAGTGAATCGGACACACATGGGATGTGAAAAGACCATCATGGGCATCTGCCTTTCTGAAAGAAAAGCTGGTGTGAAGCTCTGTTACTGTGGATTGGAGTTGGGAATAACTGGGATTCGAGAATTGAGCCAGAAGTGTAGTGAGTGAGGCAGAAAGAAGTGGACACCCAGCGGCCCAGCAGGCCAAAATCCGTCCATGATGTCGACTTCCAGGGTCACATCATCTCCAACCCTTGGGCGCGTTGGCGCGGCGCCCACGCGCGGGCCGCGCGCGACGCTGTGCAAGCCCTGTGGCCAACGCTTTCGTGCCAACTACGCAGCGTGCGCCTGGGAGTTCTTCGAACTCACCCCAGATGCAATGGCCGCATTCGCATTCTCCTTGACCACCCCGATCTCCTGAAATCGTTGGGATATTTGGGGGATCACAAGTGCCCAACATGGATGGTTTGACCCAAGCAATTCTATTGACACTGATCATTGATCTACTTTTCCTGCTGAGCCCCTCCCACCCCCACCAAAGAAAAACAGCCAAAAAGTGGTGAACGAGAACCCCCGTGGTCGCAAAACTCCGTCTTCAAAAACAGACCATAACTTGGCCAACCCCAGTCGCCCTTGCTTGGGATGGGTTGTAGTTGGTGGATGAGGTTCCTACAAGCCAAAGGTAGGTGTATATATATATATACAGTATGTCCTGTGTCATGACGAACTATATCATTCAAAGATAGTAACACCAACATCCATGAACCAGCTGAAACCAGCTGAACCAAGCGTCTGTGCCCTTGCCACCCTCCACTGTGGAGATTTGTGAGGTCGCGCCCGCGGGCAGCTGCTGCAGCAGCGCGCTGCCCAGCTTCGAGAACTCGGGGTCCGCGGCCGTTGTGTGTGTAGCACCCCCCCAGGTCGGTCGCCAGGTCGGTCGCATTAATACATACACTGTATCAATATAATTACACACCCATTTGACCTCTGTTTTGATAGGAAAAGACCTTATTTTGAGTGCTTGGTGGTCCAAAATAGAGGTCATTCAGGTTCCAGGTATATATATATATATAATACCCTCGAAGTCCAGGACATCGACGATCTTTGCACCGACGCCTTCGGTTCCCGGAAGTTCCTCTTCAGGTCGGGGGCACTGACTGGCTTAGCCGACTAGACTCCAGGGTGTGTTTACACACACCTCCGAACTGTACTTAATGGCATATAGATGCATCTTGCGATATACTTAGTACAGTATCCGTTTTCTTCTGGTTGCAACCTACAAACTGTAGGATTGATTTTCGTCGATGGAGCTTTCGCGAAAGAAAACATCGAAAACCTTTGACGTCCTGGCTTCGGCCCACCGGAACGCGGGGCAACCCTGTACGTCGAATCCATTGGCATGTTCGGTTCTTCTTCAGCTGACGCTCGGAGCTGCAGCTCTCGCGGCTGCATCAAGCGACTCTGGTGACCCCGGCTTCCCGACCCCAGTCGACCGAGGGGCCAGCACCCGCAATTTGCTCACGCGAGCGCCCTTGGCCACGTTGGAATCGCTGCCGCCGTCGGCAAAGCTGTTGCCCACCGAGCTGGTCGCTTTGAGCAGCGAGGTCCCGGCGGCTGGGTCGACACCTGGGGCGAGACGACTCAGGAAGAGCGGAGTGGAGTCAAACGCGTATCTCCGCCAAATGTGTCTGGGAAGTGTGGTGGAGGCCAGATGTGTCTGGGTGGAAGCTGCGTTCCGCGGGCGTTTTCCGCGTAAGACGCGTTCCGACGCGTTCCGCTGACTATCCGCGACGATCCCCATGTCATGCACCCATCAAGACGCATCTGCCCAGTTCGAGATCAAAAGCCATCCCGCTTAAAGTGAGTGCGGGGAATGGTTTCTGAAGCTAAAACATCCCCTCAACTGATGCCCTCATTGGCCATGGCGCCTTGCGAATCCAAAGCGGCCTGGCGGCCGGCGGAGGAGCCACTCCTACGGACCGTTCCTCAGTGGCTCTACCACCGCCCTCTTGGGTCATTTGGAGAAGATGTGCAAACACCTTGCAGCTCCAACCCACAAGGAGAGTATTGATCCACAAGCATATGATAGCACATGGTCACTAGTCTGTCAACCATCACCAGCCCTGCAAACCACACCCACTGCAACTCTCCTTCCCCCCTCTCCCTTGGTCTTCCTCCCTCCCTCACTGCCCTCCGCGCGCACCGTCAGCACTGTATCCAGCGCGCCCGCCGCCCGCTCGGCCACCGCCGGCGAGGCGGCGGAGCCGCCGCTGCCCTCGCTGGACAGCATGTTGGCGGCCACTTCGCCGAACTTGCTGAGGCCTCGGGCGACCGAAGGGAGGAACCGCCAGGCCAGAGGAAGGTGAGGAGACTTAGTTGAGAAAGAAGGTCTTTCGGACCGCCCAGCCGCTGTCTGAGGAGGCGCCCACCACGTTCGCTGCGGAGTCCAGGGCCTCGCAAAGAAGCGGTGGCGACGGTGGCGATTCAAAGGTGCCCAACGCCAAGGTGGAAAGAATATATCATCCACCTATCTGTTTTCTTACTTTAGGGGTTTTGCAGGTTCTGATAAATCTGTTTGTTAGATGTTCATCTTGAGTTCCCAAGACATCTTTGGAAGTGTTCATAACATCTTTCACATACATACTGGCGAGCGCTGTAGTGCTGTGAATGGGGTCCGCGTCTCGTGCTGTGAATGGTTGCCATCTTCTCTAAATCACCTGTAGGCTTGCAGGGCGGCATGCAGAAACTCCTTGCTTGACGAAGCCTCACCTCATGCTCAGGCCCCTTCTGAAAGCCTCCCATGGGGAATACGTCACCAAGCTCACCACACCCCTGGTTCATCGCCAGGACAAACTCATCAGCCTACTCATGGTAAGTTTTGCGTTTTCAACTTGTTTGCAGGGGTGGTAGGTGGGTAGATTCTGCGTAGGGGGCTGAAATGCGGCAAGGCTCTAGCTTGTCTATTTCAAGCTGGAAGACCCCACGCACGGTCAGCTCAGGATGATCTACAAGGTTTTCCACCATTCCGTGGCCCTGGCAAGGAAGCAGGTGTTTGGGAAAGGATGGGCCTCCAATCCCCAAGCCCCGGTGCTGCGTGGACCTCCATTTTCTTCTCTGTGGCCGCAGCGAGCTCGGCCGTGTCGTTGCTGGCCTCGTTGTGTCGCGGCCGTGCGGCCAGCAAGTCGTGGCGGGAAGACACCCTGAGTGTTGACTTCAGAAATCCTACACCACCCCACAATGTAGACTCTTGCTTGATCAATTACAAAAAATAAGAAAAATCCACCCATGAAAAGGTTTTACTTTTACTATCCAAATGTGTTCCTAAATCAAGAGTCTACATTACCGCAGCCTCGCGGGTTGGTGCTCGTTTCAGGTGCAGGAGAACCCTTCCCGCAACTGCGGGCTGGTGGAACTGATGGTTTCGTTTGGCAGAAGGTTAGCAGTTTGACTCTGGCAAGCTGTAGTAGCCGACTCCCGATTTCGCCAGCTGCCACCAAATCAATAAATGCAGGAAGACACCAGGCAAAATGGCCTGGTGTCTTAGGTTGGAGGTCTCAAGGTTGTAATCGATTCATCCTCGATGACAATTCCCTTGAAATGCCCTTGTGGAACAAGGAGAGCCCAGGGTGACCGAACATGCAAGAGGGTGACATCACCCAAAGCATGTCGCAAAGACTTCAAGTATTGGGCAAACATGGGCACTACACCTTCAAACAAAATACGACGCCTCCGACACCCCAATAAAACCCAAAGGCCCAAGGCAGTGCTTGTTGGGTTTGGGGTGCCATGATCCACTGGAGTCTACCTTTCCAGTGGTCCCCCCCTTTGTTCGGGGCATGTCCATCTCCACGGCCCCCACGTTTTTCCATCCTTCTTCTCAGCAGCTATCGCCACGGAGGAGAGGGAGTCCAAAGCCCCCAAGATCACGCTCTCGTCGCCACTGCTCATGGCCGTGTCCAGCGAGGCCAACGCCAGATCCGGGCTCACACCGCCTCAGAGGCTCCGCTTCACTGCTCCGCTGGACCTTTTTGTTCAAAAGCAGGTGGATGGGGTTTGAGGGGGGTCTGAAAGTTCCACCTGCAACCTCCTTCCTCCTGACTGACCTCAAGAGAGGTCGCGGTGGATCTGTCTGAGCAGGCCTCTTAGTTGAGGAGAACGAAGCTCCTTGCCAAGACCTGTGAAGAATTCACCCTCTCTCTAGTGCCAAGTTGGTGGCACTTCCTTCCCTCACGAGATTCGCATGTTCATTCTCCCGAACTTTTGAGAACAACGACCCGGCGGCCCATCGAATCCCATGGCACCAAGTGGCCAGGAGGCGCTTCTACCAAGGGCCCCGGAGCATAGGAGACACTGACCGCTCCTGAGGACTTCGTCCAGAACAGGACTTCGTCCAGAACAGCGACATCCAACCCAACACACAGCAGGGGGAGGACGGGTGGAATTCTTAAACACCCAAAGAGTTTGAAGACCAGCCGCCTTGGAGGTTGTATACACATGTATACACTATAGATCTGCATAGGGTCGCCTCACATGATTTGAGACATACGTGACGCTCTTGTGATCTCTTGGTCGTTCTAGTCTGGGACCCAACCTTGCGCCAGCCAGGGTGGGCCCGAGATGACGCAATAGTGAATGGGTCCCCATGTGCTGCACTTGTTGGAGCCATTGACTGGAGACCTATCGTAGAGCAGCCGACCTGCAACATGTCCGACATTACGCCCAACGGCTTTCCTGTCTCAAGCGATCGTGATCCGGCGCACCCTCCAAGCCCACAACCGAGGCGTACGCCCCGGACGTACGCACCGAGGCCTACGCCGAGAGCATGAGTCCCATCTGGGACGATTCTTCACGATGACCCAACACCGCGAGACCCAACAGCTAGTTTCTACGCAGTCCCAGGCCCCGCGACAGCAGCGGCGGATATCCGGTCCTAGATGATCTCGCGCCACGACGGCCATGACATAGGCGCCCACTGCGACCTATGTCAAACATCGGCAGGCGTGGTCTCTTTCGCCTTTAGCCAGGCTTGGCTTCGGCATGGCCAGACTAGGTCTACGTGGTACGAACAGACCAAGAAGCTTGGCCCCGGAGGCCGTGGCCATCCTGCACCAGTCACTCCTTCGAAAAGTCTCAAGCCTGGAGTGCCTCTAAGATCCAACGGTGAGACCTATGTATATACTAAGTATATTTAATATAATACAATATCATATCATGAGATAATATAGTATAGTCCATATAGTATAGAATAATACAATATAATATAATATAATATAGTAAAAATTAATAAAATATAATATAAATACAACATATACCATATATTATATACTGTATAAATATGCGATACATTGATCATAAATGACACATATCATATGTATACATATATATATATACACAATAAAGGCCTATAGTTCTGCGCAAATGATGCCAACAAGGAAAGGAGATGAAAGGAGACACCCTAATCGATGCTGATGATATCCTTACGGCTCACTCGTTCCAGCCCACTTGCAACCAGGGAGCGGAGACATCCCACTGCGCCGCCTGCGGGTCAGAGACATTCTGCAGGAAGGAGCCACCCAGCGCTGACCAGTAGAAGGGGCTGGTGACGTTGGTCCAATCCTTGAAAGATGCCGTGCCGGCTCAGCCATTCGTCCCGCCGAGGTCACGTGCCCCAGCGCCAACTGGTGGAGGGTGCCCAAGAAGCCCTTCCAGCTATGGACTGGGGGCGTTGGTAGATAGGGTGCGGATTACAGAAATCAAGTGTAGAACCCACATCTGGGGTGCCTCATCTGAGAATCCGTTTGCACCAGGGTTGCCTGGTTTGTAGAATTCCATCCACCCCACGGTCCTTTTTGGGAGATGCCAGGCCCAACCATCAAATTCCCAATTCCGTTGTTGAGCCGTTGAGACTCGTGTCGACTTGTGTTGACTGACAGTTCCATACAGTTTCCATCCTAACTTGTCAACAAAAAACACCGTTTTTGGATGCACCGCCCTTCAAAACAAACCTCCATCGGTTTGTTATGCCAAGGATCCACCGTGGGCGTTTCAAAGGTGGCGCCCAACAGGATGCCTCGAAGCCCACGCGATTCGACGAATGAGGGCGTCCCCATCATTGTCGCGTCCCCGTCCATGTGACCGCATACAATTCCCGTCAGGAACAGGCCCCGCCTCCATTCCCGTCAGAAGTCATGGTGGTATTCCTGGGACAGCGTTTTGGCGGTCAGGCATCGGCATAGAGTATATACATATATGCAAACATCCCAAGTGCCTACATAATTTACACAATATATGCGTTTCCTCATTTTTACGTGCCTCTTCTCTCAACTCAGGTTTTAATGAAAATAAACAGCTTTATGGGCTACATCACATGCAGTTGCTATGTATCTAATTATATGTTTTTTTCAAATTCTATCTTCATTGTCACATCCTGAGTCATTGCTTCCTTGTGTTTGTAGGGGGGGTCCTTCTTGTTCGGAGGTCTTTTGGTGCCCGTCCGCATCTTAAGTCGGAGCACGGAACAACTAGGTTGACTCCGTCATGCAACTCTTCGGTGAATGTCCGTAGTTTGACGTGCACGGACGCCGTTGCTTGTCGTTGATCCAAGCATCTGAGTGAATGGAAGGAGGTAGAAGGCATAGGTAAGGCTCTCCACCTGCTTGCAGGCTCGGCCCAGTCTAGTCACTCAGTGGCCGTGGAAAACTTCAAAGCTGAAAATGAGCACAAGAGGTATCTGGTTAGCATCCCGACAAAGCCAAGGTGCCATTGTGCCGCGGAAAACGCGGCCTAGCCGAAAGCCCCAAACTTCGTTTCAACGACACCCCCGGGGGTGAATAAGCATGCTCCTCCCTCATAAGCTCCAATCCGCTTCATTGGTCCTGCAGCCACCACACCTGATATCCGCTCCATCTCACCAGCGCGCGCCTGCTCATCGTACCACGCGAAGGTGGTGCCGGAGAAGGCGTCCGTCACCGCATAGCCCGCCACCGGCGACACCGTGACCAGGCCACCCGAGGGCGGGCCATCTGCAAGGAACCTCGTCTGGCTGGTGGTTTCAACTCAAATTAAAAAAGTATAAAATATCACACCTACCGACTGTATTACTGTAGTTGCACAGGCCCCAAATACCAACTAACTACAGCACCTCTAAAAGCACAGGCAAACAAGCGGAAATGGCTGAACCCCAGACTAGCTTTTCAATTTGTCCGTGGATTTGAAACCATCACCTACACCCGTCCAAACCTTCCCAGGTCAGCTTGGACATATAGAAAACAAAACAAGGAGAGAGAAGGTCCGAGAGAGAACCTGTTTGCAGTCTCGGATTTTTCCGCCAAAGGCACATGTCACTCTTCACCGTCTTGGCGCCTTGGGCCTCTGCCTGTATCAAGCTTTCCAGGTTTCCACTCTCCAAAGCAGCCATCTCCTCCTCCCACACGCAAGGGTCTGGTAAAAACATTGGGCATTTTACGATGATTCAGGTTTGCCACCACTTCAGGCACACTGGACTTCCTGGAAGTAGCATTCAGTGCATGCCGGCAAGCCTAAGGCACTGATGGCACACATCCACCATTGTGGTAGGGAGACCATTCACCTACTATCTTGTTGTAAGGCCTGCTTGGCAAAGATGTTTCCTTGCTTGTATTAGACCCCTGAACAGACCCAGCTGCGGCATCGAAAGTACGTCACCCAGCTTTGGCTGTCCTGGCTGGAAGCTTGCAGCACGGCATAAGCATATCTCCGGCCTGGAACCACCCCCGAGCAAATTATGGCTGGGATGTTGAACAGGGGTGTGTGTGTGTGTGTGCCGCACTCCGTGTCCAGGAGTTTAAATGTTGAATTTAAGCTACACTATCTGCAGGGGGGCCATCCCTCTCACCAGTGCCGAAGAGGCCACTGGGCTGTAAACGTGCCTGCAGTTCTAATTAGGGTAACGGAAGGAAATGGTACACTTGTGTGTCGGTACCTTTTCTTCTGTTGTCCCTTCTCTGGTCTACTCTACCCGGGCGGCCTAAGACTAAAGTCCCGCTCCCCAACTATTGCACATAATTAAGGACCGCTAAGTATTCAGTAACTAGAAAGGAACAAGTTGTTGAACATTTCAGCTGCGCGGATTTTGCACCTTTCCGTTCCCACATTCATTTCCTCATGGATTCTGATACTGAATGAACCTGTGACTAAGTGTGTATCGCTGTGTTTTCCCACTTGGGATCACTTCGGTGCACAGTGTGATCCCCCGCAAGGGGGCGCCGAAGCCACCGTGGATTATGGATTGTGTTTCACTCATGAATCAACTGAACCATATGCCGCCGGGCTCACGGAATAAGTGCCGCCGGGCTTACGGAGAATGAACCCCGACCCCCACACCCATACCCACCCCTCCCCTCTTTCCTTCTTGCGGTTTCTTCGTTTGCTAGGTGTTTCTTCAGGCTTGTTGGGTTGTTCTTGAGGCTCGTTTCCCTGCCCCTCGGCTTCGCACCTTTTTTGCTACACCTACCTTTCTCTCTTACCCTCTTCGCTTTATCTTTCTGTTTTCTTTTCTTGCTAAGGCTTGTTAGGTGGCTATTCAGGTTTGACTCCGCAATTTGCCGCAGGCAGACATGCACGGCACTACCCCTATCTTTTTTCTTGCCCTTTTGGCTTTGCTCTTCCTGTCTTTCTTCTCTCTCTTTTCTAAGGCTTCTTAGGTGGCTACTCAGGCTCTACGCCCGTAATTTGCCGCACGCGCGGCAGACATGCATGCCTCTACACCTATCTTTCTCTTTTGCCCTCTCTGGCTTGCTCTTGTTCGTTTTCTTTCTTTCTAAGGCTTGTTAGAAGGTGACTATTTAGGGGCGAGCGCCGCACTGCGGCACCTTGTGTGTGCCGCACTCCGTGTCCAGGAGTTCAAACTTTTTAATAAATTTGCACTATCTGCAGGGGGCCATCCTCTCACGAGTGGTGGATGGCCACCGAAGAGGCCACTGGTGAGGGCTGCAAACATACCTGCAGTTCTAATTAGGGTAGCAGAAGGAAATGGTACTCTAGTACTCGACACACTTGTGTGTCGGTGCCTTTCCTTCTGCTGTCTCTGTTCTAGTCTACTCTACCCGGGCGGTCTAAGACTAAAGTCCCGCTCCCTAACTA